CACCGTAAACAAATTGGCACGCCCGGTGGGACACGTTTAAATTGAACATAATTGGACTAGTTTTAGGTGCACGTGTTGTATGAGACTTAGGAGTGGAAGAACTATGTCTACATCTAATGCTAGCAATAGGAGGGAAACAAATAATGATAACCATGTTGATGTAGAACTAGAGAATCCTCACCTCGATAATGTGACTAGTGGGACAAAGGGGACAACAGGTGTCCAAGACGCGGCGCGATTCCGCCATTTTTGGCCGCTCCACTCTCCGATCGACGCGGCCGCTCCAGCCGCGACAGAAATCCGAGACGCGACAACATCACCATTGCGGTGTCGGGTCGCTCCGCGCCAGAGCGCCGCGATAGCGGCCGCTCCGGCCGCGATTGACTACTATGGATGTATGTATGTTTGAGAAGGGGATGACAAACCAACAAAGATCTAGTATTCTTAAAAGAAAACATAAATGAGAAAAAGACTCAGATAGTGGGGAAAAGATGGAGACATTACACTACAGGATTTTCATTGTAAAACAAGAAGAAAATCAAGATGGATATTGCAAGTAATAGCCATGCTATCACTTAGTCTGTAATGTAGAAAGGCACATTAACTTACTTTACATAAACACAAGACATTCCTGAACATAATACCTGAGTTTGCATATCATCCCCGGTGACTATATTTCCAACAGTTCGAAGAGCAGGAATTAGCACTGAAGGGGATGGGTGCCTAAACAAGAGTAGGACATTTAGAATATGGCATTAAAATGACACATGGGAGCCTACATTTTTGCATAGCAATATTTGAGAAGTGGGGCACTCACAGTAGAAGCTCAACAAGTCGGGGACAAACACCAGCTTCAATTACAGCTTGAATTTTATCATTTGTACCATCAGAAAGATATGATAGGGCCCAACACGCATCAGTCAAGACTTCTTCGTCGTTTGAATGGATAAGGCGGGCAAGAGCAGGAAGTGCAGGTTTAACCTGAAGAAAAATATAAATAACATGTATGATATGTGAAATATAACATAATAGGAGTTAATAATCAATCAGTAAAAGCAAGACAAGAAAACAAACACTGAAAAAACCAATGAGCCAATGGATAACACTCCATGTTATATTATTTTTCATTGGTGCTATGAGCCAAGGATTTACCAGTGTGGCTGTTACTTGTTCAATACTATTGCTTTTGCATGCAAGTACAGCAGTTTTGAGTAAGATTTGATCATAATGGCCTACTCAAGAAGTACATTAGTACATATATATTCAACCACTCCTCACAACAAGCAAAATCTCTCTCGTAAACTAGAAATACAGCCAAATACAACAACAGCAAAAAAGGGAAACTATACAAAACTAAAGTAAAGAAGAATGAACACTAAGATAATTCACACTCCTCCCTGTGGCCAGAGCAACCTTTACTTTCCAAAATACGCTCTGCCTTACATGACACCCCCCCCCCCCCCCAACCCCCCCCCCCCCCCCCCCCCCAACACGCTCTTATAAATATTTAATCCCGCCATGGTCCTCTCTATTCACACACTGCCAGCTATCTATTCGGTTGTGCTCAGGGTTCAGACTTCAGAATCAATTTGGGCCCAGTGATGAATATTCTTTCACCACTTCCTTCCTCACGGCCCTTCTCTTCCTTATTTCTCCAAGCATAGACTTTGCCTTTAGTGCCTAAAAGCATATTGTGCAACTTCATAATAAAAAGGCAAGAAACATTATGCTTCTAGAAGAGGAAGAAAAGGCTGAAGGATGTTGTTCAACAGACTAAAAGACCAAGGGTCTGTTTGAATAAACTTCTTCAAAAATACTTCTAGGAGAAATAAAAAAGGGAAATTGCAATAAATTTCTCCATAAGTTAAAATTAGCTTATACATAAGTTAAAAATAAGATTTTGAAGAAGCTAATAAGAGAAAGATTCTGCAAATTAGCTTATGCAAAAGCAAATTTGAACTTATGAAGAAGCTTATTTTCATTTTTCCTTCTTATTTTTATCTCCTAGAAGTGCTTTTGGAGAAGTTTACCCATATAGGATCCAACTCTAACAAGCTACCAATATAATGCAAAAGAACATAACATTCTAATCTATAGGTAGATAGACACACTGGATTGACAAGAACATTCAAAAGAATAAAATCAAGTAACATATAACTGCTTTCATTTTCATCATGTGTGATGACAATGTGCAAATTTCAACTGTGATTATCACTTAACTACATATATAGTATTTCACCAACTAAGGGTATAAAACTGTAGCATTTCATCCCTTAACAGAGAATACAATAGCTAAATGAAAAGAAAGGATCAATATATATATATATATATATATATATATTCGATAAGACAATTATTTGGAGAGATTAAGCAATACATATATTCATACCTGATCAAAAGGAGGCTGTGGCTTGCCCCTGCAGAAGTTTGAAAGCGTCCAGGTAGCATTTCTAAGCATGGAAAGCTTAGCATGTTCATTTAATTGTGCCAACAAAGGAAGCAAAGCCCCATGACTAAGAACAAGATCACGGCATCTGGGAGAATCCCCAGCGACATTCCCTAATGCCCACACTGCCTGTGGGTACCCAAAACACCAAGGATGAAACGTTAACCTTTTAATTAGTAAATGATCACATGGTACAATGAAATTACAAGTTATTGTGGTCCATCTTCAGTTGTCAGCTGCATATCAATAAATAAAAACACCCAGCTCAAGCATTCCGACCCCACCCCAAATTCCTTTCTTTTGCATGTGCAAGCATGCACATAACAACATCATTAACACAAAAAACATATCCAGATCCACAAACGCGTTTTGCGATCACGAGCCCCCCTTTTAACTTCATTGACCCGGCAAAAAAAATCTGGATCCCAAAGTTTTAGGTAAACGAAAGCACATTAAGACACGTAAAATATACCTGTTCACGAACATCGTCACTAGGAGAAGCAAGTAGCTTCACAAAAATCGGGACAGCCCCGTGGTCAATCACCACCTTGGTGTTCTCAGACGTTCCAGAAGCTATATTTGTCAAAGCCCAAGCAGCCTCAAACTGTACAACACTCGATATTCAAATATCAGCATAAGTAACAATCAAATCACAAATTCAACAGACAAACAAAAACAAAGCAGACAAGTAGAAACCTGAAGCTGCGGAAAGTCTTCCCTCATCAGGAACTCAACAAAGCGAGAAACTACACCGGTCTGTATAACCTCCTCAATTGGAGGACTACGTTCTGATACATGAAAACCAAATTAAGTAATTCACCAAATGTCCATTAAAATTCATCAAACAGCATATTAAACACAGAAGCCAATCCGAACCAATCGAAAGCAGCTTCCGAAACTGAGTGGTGGCCTCGAGTTGCAGGTTATTATCATCAGTCCAAACACCAGCAACCATGGATGGCAGGTGTTCCAACTGCAGCAACACACAAACACAATCTATAATTCAGAAAATAAATTGCGCAAACCAAAACCTAATAACAAACTCAGAAAATCGATTCAACGAAGCTTATACGAAAGCGATTCGAAAATTGACCTTCTTCTCTACCAAAGTAGAGTGAACGGAGGCAGGCATCTGCTGAGGCTGGAGCCCCTCGCGCCTCTTCTTCTGCAAGCTCTCTTCTCTGCGGTTCTTGCGGATCTCGACCATGGTGTCTTCTCGCCGTCTCCGGCCTTCCTCCGCGTCCACCGCCACCTTGTAGCGGTTCCGGCGGACCTCGGTCCTGGAGTTCCCGCTCGGGCGATACGACATCGTTTCGGAGGCAATCTGCGAAGCTGCGCAGCGATTGTTGAATTGACGAAGAGAATTGAGCGTAGGGTTTGGGATATATGGATATGGGAAAGGTAGAGAGATACCAAGGGATTTTGGGTTTCTTCGCGAGCTTCAACATGAGAAGTGGAAAGTGAAAGGTTTATATACGAGGGTGGAAGTGGAAGCAGAGGTTTGGGTGAAAGTGGACCTGGATCCGATGACATTTGCGAAAATGCCACTGGTTTGAATTGGGACAAGGTGAGCGTAAAAGTTACTATCATTGGAGTAATGCCTGTAGTGGAATTCCAAAATGGAAACGAAGGAGACACCGAAATTCAAAGTCTGTTTATCACATAGTTGGCCCAAATATTACAAATTTGGGCTTACCTTAAAAAGTCGATGATATATACACCTCCAATTTTTTATAAATACAACTCTAATTCTTTTTTTTAAATAAAATTCTTAAAATATCTTTCTAATTAAATTTTTATTTTAATTTTTTTATTCATCCCCTTTCCTTTATAATTTTTTTTCTTTTTTTTTAATTATTCTTCTTTATCATTCTAGTCATTTTTTTTGATAATTTTATTCTTTTTCATTTTTCATTCTTGATTTTTCCTTTTACAATCAACATAATCATATTTTATATTTTTATCTTTTAAACTCTATTTTTTACTTTCTACTCTATTCTTTTTTAAACTCTAATTTTTCATTCAATCTTCATTATTTTCTACATTCAAAACAAGGTACAAATTAATATATTAAATTACATTCTAAATTTATAATTTTTTTAACTTATTTAACATTACTTATGGACAACAGAAATATATAATTAACCTACTTCGATCGTAGACGATGATGGTGGACGCTAGACATAAAGAAACACGTAAGTTAAATTTGTCATACTTCCGAAAAATAAGATTCGAAATGTTAATTTTAGCATTCTTGAAAGTACTTTATGGAATGATAAAATTATTGTTTCGAAAAGCATTTATTGGAGGTGTGTTTCTTATATAATTCCGGAAAGAACTTTCTAGAACAGTAATTTTAGTATTCTGAAAAGTACTTTCCCGAATTATGTAACAAAACATTTTCGAAAAATATTTTCCAAAATAAAAATTTACTATTATGGAAAGTATTTTTTGTAACAAAAACTTTATTATTCCGAAAAGTACTTTTCGGAATAATAACTTTACTATTCTAAAAAGTACTTTCTGAAACAAAACAAAAAAAGAAGAAGATATTGTAAAAATTGAAAAGGGTAGAAGATGAGGTAAAGAGGTCGGAGAAGAAAGTGACGAAGAAGAGAAAAAGAAAGGGGTGGAAAAGAAAGAAGAAGAGAGGTACCCGGAACAGAAAAAAGAAGGGAGGTGTGAGGAAAAGAAAGAACAATAGAAGTATAAATCTGAAAATTATAATTTTGAAAAATATTAAGAGTAATTTAGAAATTTAATATATTTTTTAAAAAAAGGAGTGTGTTTATATAAAAATGGAGGTGTGTTTATCATCGACCAAATTTTAATATTTTAAAATCTGAAAACTCTAAGGAGTCCAACAAAAAAATTGCATAAACAATAAACATTGTCAAGAAAGAAAAAATATCCACTACAAAAAAATGAAAAGTATCTACTCTAATAAAAAAAAGTTATTTATTTTATAATATTAGATTTTTTTATAATTTAATAAGATTTAAATATATATTTAATTCTTTAAAATAAATAATTTACGTTAGTATTGTTAAACTTTTTATATTAAATCAATTTTCTATTTTATCCTTAATTAAAAGAAATTGATCAAAATTGTATAACCTAAATAAATAACACCACCATGAACGAACCGTTTATTCAAGGGAAACTCACTACAAATTAAAAAAAAAAAAATCTATAAAATACAAAGAAAATTCGTCTAGTACACCATCATGGACAAACACCTTTATCATATAATTTTTATACTCTATTACTCAAATGCTCAAAGTTGACAAAAGGAAGTTGTATTATAACAAAATCCCACCGAGGAATCTACAAACTCCATAATAGGGGAGGAGTCTGACCTTGAAAGACCTATTTAAATGAAGAATTTTACAAATTTAAAGAATTTAGAATTTTTAGTATTTGAATTATTTCGATTTCAATTTCTATCATTTTTAAAATATTTTGTTCGGATAAATTAATTCAAATTTTTAAAATTTTAAATTGTTAATTTTGATATGATAATTTAATTTAACTATGATAAAATTAATTTAAAAAATATATTTATATATTGAGATTTTTAAATAAAATTTTATAAAAATAAATATTAGCTAATTTTTAAATATTTAATAATTTAAAAAATTAATATAAATAATATTTAATAATTTTAAAAATATTTTTTGAATATTCAATAATTAAAAATATGAAGAGATAAGATAAAATATATAAGTAAAATAAAAAAAATATGAAAAATTTCAAATTCTTATTTTTTTTTAGAATTTGAAATTCTACTATTTCAAGGAATTTCAAATGTTTGGATTTCAAATATCTTGTAAATTCTCCATCCAAACAAAGTATTTCACTTCAAAGAATTTGAAATTCTTCAAAAAATGAATTATTATATTTAAATTCTCCATCCAAATACACTATTAAACACACTATAATAGTGTGTTTGGATGAGAAATTTTATAAATTCAAAGAATTTTAAATTCTTAGTATTTGAATTTGTAACGATCCGGCTGGTCACTACACAAGGCATAACACACTATAAACACCAGACAGATAGAACAAGTATATAAATATAGGATCTAGAATATATAGATATACAAAGTTCCAATCTGACTAGAGTTAAAGTGTACAAAAGTTACAATCAAATGCTATCATCCCAAGTAGCTCAACAACAAAATAATCACAAAAGATAGATCAGCTCCTCCAGTCTGCTGAAGACTCACCACTAGACTCCCATCTATCCCTGCTCTGCTCCCATACATAGTATGATCATTGCAGTCCAAAACATCATGGAGACAACAAAAGGGTAAGCTAGTGTAATTAAAATCAACATACTGATATATAACAATATGATAAACAACTGATATAGCTAACAACACACATGTACAACTCATACCACTCACAACTCGCAACAATATCAGCACTGCTTAGCAGCAATAACAGCACCACTCAAGTGGCTATAACAGCACCGCGAAGCGGCAACAACAGCACCGACTTAGCGGCTATAACAGCACCACGCATGTGGCTAATAACGTCAACGACTTAGCGGCTATAATCTCACACAACTCAGCACAGCACAACATAGCACAGCAGTTCAACATACGACACAACTAATCATCATTGGCATTATACAGCACAACTCAGCTTTGCATCAATACAGCTTAAACATCATACGACATTAATAACTTAAACAACATACAACTCAGCTCGGCTCAATAACATTAATCAACATTATTCAGCATTAATCAGCATATTTATGAAAGAACACATCTGAAACAACCTTCAACTTATCCTAATCACTCATTGTGAAGTGACAACCTTTACTAAACATAGAATATCTGGAGTTATAATACTCCTATCATGCTCATCCTTATCTCATATGAAAGATAAGAAGATTTCCTATAACTCTCATGAAGACACCGAGTCCTAATTCCTTCATCTACCTTGTGAAAAATTTTAAAAACCGCAACAGCTATAACCAAGGCTGGCAGCTTGACCCCTCTTCACTAAAACAGCCATATCTGGAGTTCTAGAACTCCTTTTTGGGTGATTCCAACGCCATTGGAAAGCTAAGATCCAAGGCTACAACTTTCATGAAGACTTTAAGACCAAATTCGGTCATCAAGACCCACCGCTGCAGCGCTCAATCCAGCGCTTTAGCTG